CCTCATCGTGGATGGCGTGGAAACTGTGACACGCAGAAGTAGCGCCCGAACAAGGTAGTAAACACTAAAACAAAACTAAACAATTATTCACCGATTCAATCCAAATATCCTGGCATTCAAATGTTTTTATCAACTTTTTTTCTACCTATGAGGAAATTACTTGACAAAAATATCGGCGAACAACAGCTACCGGTAACGTTCATGACTTAGCGCACCGCTGCTACCGATTCGTGATCAGATCAGATATCACAAGTAAGAAAGGGCTTTCTCCAGCCAAGTGTCGAGATTCTTGCTTCGGTAGGAAGGTTCCTACTGCCAAGGATTGAAACTCTTTTCACTCGCTGTCTTGCAATTGTTTTCCGCGGTAGGAAAATTGTTTCACCGCAGGAGCGTATGGTCATCGATTTCAACTGACTATTTTCAAGTATGCCACTTTAAACTTTCCATCACATTCTATCCCAGGTATACACCACTTGCTTTTCCGTCCACCTCTCAACTTCTATACTTCAATCGGACTAACAACGAAACTACGTTGTTCCCTATCCAAAAGACAGAAACCAAAGCTGGCGCATGATTGACGGCTGCAAAATCTAAGCATGCCATCCAACGTGGTGCGTTTGTGCATGTGAGGGGTCAGCTTTATCACCGTATACATTTACACGCACTCCGAGTCGAGGCTTGGATAACTGTGCCTCGGCGCATTTAGAAACAGATGAGCATCCTGGCGTGAAAGGCGCAAATCGCAATTTGGGCATCGTTACACAAGGTCAGTTTGACGAATGAATGTAGCAACAAACTACGCCAGATTTATTTACACAAGATACTACGCTCGAGAACGATAAAAGAATCACCTCCCCACAGCAATCATCGACGGCTGTGCGTTCGTGTACCTGCTTTCCCCACACATGCACGATTAACCGGAAGTTAGAACGTATTCACAGTCAAGCAACCGAGCTGACATGCGACCCCGATCCTAGGTCTATGCTGACGGGGGTTCGTGCGGTTTTCCACGCTTAGTCTCGAATTCCAGATGACCGAAAATGAACAGCAGGTCCCACGAAAATATGGACTATTCTTCCCGAGGTTCATCGAAAGCGATATTTGATAATCAAGAGATACCACGTCATTGCACACGAGCCGAGGAAACAACAATCCACCGCATTCAGGAAGCGACGGTTTGACTAGCCTATGCCTCTCAAAATCAAATACTACAGCAGTAGGCTAGTGAGTTGAACGGGACCATGCATAGCGGTTCCCGAGTTGTGCAAAAGCGGACCCCGTTTAACCATGGACATGTGACTCAGCCCGAGTAGAGAACCAAGTATCTTTGACGCGCTAGAGAACGGCCAGAAAGATGAGTCAGATCGAAATTGGACATATCAACCAAGCGACCCATTCTTAGAGGACGAAACATTCACAAGCCGTCAACCATAGTGGGCGATGACTATTAACTAAAACTATGGGGCGGTTGACAGTGCATGCCATGCATGCGTAGTGGAAATACCGTATTACTACACATGCCCAAAAGCGTAACGAGGACAAATGCGACTCCCACCCAGCCCCGGGAAGCTAGTGACGCGATTGAACTCCGACCACACTACCATAAAGTAACGAGGGAAGACGCATCCATGACAAAGTTGTATTCTGTTTTTTAATACAATCGGTGGGGTTTGCCCATGGTGCTCTTCACATACAACGACCGAACGTTTTGCCAATTCTTCTTCAAAAGAGAGACTAAGAAGTTGATAGCCAAGTTGACGTTCTGGGCCAATTCTTCGGGCTTCATCTGCACATGACCAACGGCAACGTTGAGGGTCAAAACCTTCTTCATTTGGAATTTAATTGTCGCCTTGGCCTCATCGACGCGTTGAACAAGTGAGTCGTTGTGCGTGAGAACAGCGGGAAATTTGCCCGCTTTGCTCAAACCAGGTCCAAGAATTCTCGGAATCTGACGGATAACCGACTCGCTCGCAAGGAAAGTGTGGTATCTCTTAGCTATCAAATAAAAACGGTAACGAAATTGAGAGAACATACCCAACTTCTTGATCAATTTTTTATCTTTGTTAAGCTTCTTCAAGTCTTCAACATCCATGCACGGGATATTAGCTGCCTTGGCTTCATCAATGTGCTGCTGGTCACCAAGGATGCACACTTTCATGTGCGGTCGGGGGATATGGCGCAACCTGAAGTTACACCACGTAGTTTAGCGGCATTTAGCCTCCCCATAATATTTCAATACCCTGGGTGGGGGGATGGCTTACTTGACTGTGCCCGAGAAACGTTTATCCTTTTGTGGATCGTAGTTTTTCAACATGATCTGAAGTTCGACCGTTTCCGTGAACTTCCGCTTCTTCTCTTTGTTACTGTACTCCAACAAGTCCGTGCATGTTCGCATAAGCAGATCCTTTGGAACCTTGCTGGAATGAAGGAGGATTGTAGCTTATCTAATTTTTTCTCTTTATTTTCGTTTTTGAGGTGCACTATATTGCGTTTTGCGCGTTTTATGAATACTCGCTCGACGGCCGACGGAGCCGCTTTTACACATGTTAAAACTGTATGCGGTTAGCAATTTTTGGTGCATCCGCTTTGCTACTTATTCCGTTGCTCGAAACCACAAACCTTTTTTTAAAAATGCCTTCGTAGCTTGCGTAAACCTTCTCCGCCTCTTAGCTCTCGCCAATCCAGATGGATCAGTTGTCTCATCCCTCACAGTGGTTACACTTGCATAAGACATTCAACTCCCCTCTTGTTCTGAGTCACCTCATTCTGCAGCCGCTAGGTACAAATTCCTCTCGGTGGTCCATCCTATTCTCACAAGGTAAGGTTGAAAGGAGACTCTGGAGCATTAATCCGTACTGCTCGATCGGACCCGATTATCAAGACCCTAGGTTATTGTTGGTGTCATCTGGTGTACTAGCCGCCCCTGACACTCTTCTCTTCCAACGCAGTATGAACGAGGGAACCTTCCCACAAGCTGGAAAGAAGCCGTTATTTGCCTCATATACAAAAGGGGCGGTAGACACTTCCCTAACCAGCATTACCAGTAAACGTTTGGAGCGTCTTATGAAAGACGAAATCCTGAACTATCTTGGGACCAATAAACTTCTCTCTCGTTTCCAGCACGGTTTTCTACCTGGCAGTTCTTGCAACACCAATATGCTGACTATCATGGATAGCCTGACTGCAACATTGGATTCTGGCAACATCTCTCACGTCGTTTTCATTGACTTCGCGAAGGCTTTTGACAAGATCCCACACACGCCTCTTTTCTACAAACTTGCGGCACACGAGATTGCAGACTCCTTGCTCACACTTATTCGAAGCTTCCTCTCAAACCGCTCATTTGCTGCTCGGGTTGGCAAGTCTTCATCACAGCCCAGCCCAATTACGACCGGTGTTCCCCAAGGTTCTGTTCTAGGCCCTATTCTCTTTCTTATTTATATAAATGACCTACCCGATGCAGTGTCATCAAGAATTGCGTTGTACGCCGTTGACGTCACCATCTTTTACAGGCCTCAATTGATGCTACCTAACGCTGGTCACTTGAATGGAATCTTCCAATCAACAATGACAAGTGTGTTGGGATATCATTCAATGGTCACCCATCTCACCCTTTTACGATAGAAGGTTCCCACCTACTACCCCAAGTAGACCAATACAAAGTTCTTGGTTTCTGGTTAAACAACAATCCGTCTTTCTATTGTCACAACCATCTAGTCAGTGAGACCACTTTTCGTGTCCTGAACCTCATAAACAGATGTTTCCTCCGTATTCTAAAGGATGACTTTCCTCTTATTTACGGAACGTACATCCGCCCTCTTTTCGTATACGGAAGCCAAGTTGCACACTCCGGACTCATACGAGATCGTGACTGACTTGAGCGCATTCAGAGAGCCGCTATAAAAACCATCCTTGGATTCAGGGACCTCCCTTACTCAACGCGACTTCAACAACTGGGCCTTTACCCGTTAGAAGTCAGACGCATTCAGGGTAGATTTATTTCTCCTCTACCATCTCTTCGACACGGGTACTGTCGAAACCGTTTTTGTCACTAGTGACTCTCAGCCCACCCGAGGTCATAGCAAAAACATTTTCAAGCCCCATCCGAGAACCACTTTACGTGCCTCATTTTTACCCTTAGGGTGATATCCATATGAAACGCCCTTCCAGACCGTCACTTAGGTTTATCTATTCACCCCCACTAGGGGGAAACCTTAAAAAACATTTGAATTATGTGAGAGTTCACAATTCTTCATTTTACTTCTCACCTCGAGCGGGGAGTCCTACTAATGCCTTTTCAGTACCCTCTGTTCTAGATGAAGTTCGAATGAAAAGAAAACACAGATACCTTTCAAGGACCCGGGACATTTGGGCAACAGCCTGGAACCTGTGAATCACTTCAAGACTTCAAGATAAACTAAAAGGCTTGGGACTCTTCTCGCTAGAAAGGAGGAGACCAAGGGGAGACTTACTGGAGAACTTTAAGATTCGCAGTGGTGGGTGTTCACCTTGTGAGCATACTGCCGGAA